CAATGAGCCCTTTAGAACACACAAAAATGCAGGCTGTTCACTTGTAGGAGACAGGAAACTGAGATTCTTCTCATTAAATTCCCTACATGTTCTTGAGGGGAGCAAAGTTTCTCTCTCCATGGAAGTGAGCAGAGGGAGGATTAATTACTAAAGCCAATTGATTTTAAGGGACAGAGACATCAGCCACCTGGATGAAGGCCCCGTGTCTCTGGACTGGCCCCTCTCTGCCAAGTCCGTATGACTTGTACAGGAGCCATTCTGAAACAGGCTCCCTGCTGGCCCCTGAAGGGTGCAGAGGGGGAAGGTGGATATGCTAGCTTACCCTCCACAAAAGTTCCATAGACTCCGTGTGGGAGGAAGGCTCTGCATCTCCAGCCATTCCTCTTTCCCACAGATCCCAAAGCCCACTAAATCCACCATAGAGTCTTGGGGACTTGGATAAATCATGCTGAGTAGACAGCTCCTGCAGATTCAGGAGAATTATGTTATGTAGGCAGCACTTGCCATTTATGTGCCCCCTAAATCAGGATCCACTGGCTCTTATAAAGGTAATTGGAAAGTCACTTAGGGAAGTATCGCAGAGAAAGTTGGGTTTATTACTGTACTTGCTCATGGATGGATATGTAGCTGAGCAAGAGTCAGTGTACAGGTGGGGAAATCTTGTACTTTCTTAGCTGACACAGTAAACTTGGAATCTGGGGTCGCTTTAGCAGTTGTGAGGATCAAGTCAGAAAGAGCTCAAGCCAGAATTGGTTTGGCTGGATTTAGATGGTGCAGCTGGGACTATCAGTTGTTCAAACGGTGTGCAAGCCAAGCAGAAACAAGATACAGTGAACGATATCATGAAAAGTATCTGCCACAACCATACGCTTGCTGTTTTGGATCTCAAAAATATTATCCCTGTTTAGAGTTAATTTTGAAATATGGTGTCAAATTTTATTATTTAAATCCCAAAAGATGATGCCAACTTTGAGCTCTTGCTGAGGCCTTTGGAAACGGATATTTTGGATTTAACCACCAAGTATATTTGGTTGTTATAGCACTGAAGGAAATGATAAAAAGCTATGATTTGTCTGACACTTATTTGTAATATAGTGAGTCAGGGGCATTCTTAAGGAGATCAAGACAGGCAGGTTTGTGGGCACATTGTGTTTCATGATGGACTTATTCACTAGGAGAGGATCTTGTCTTGCGTGAGGCTTTGCAAAAGCTAGAAACTATTATACTAGAACTCAAAGCAGTGAAAGGCAAGCCTTCCTTTTATGTCTACAATCTTATCTCCAGGGATAGATAATATGAAGGGGTAAACATTTCTGGGTCTTTGGAGGTAGAGAAGCAAAAAACAAAAACAAAACCAACAATCAGTATGCTTGAAGCTGTCAATATTGAGATCAGATTCCCCAGGCTACAGCAATTACCATTCACATGGTTTCAGTGCTTTGACTTTATATCCTGTCTTGTTGCTAAAATAAGAATTGGTCCAGTATGGCAGTGTACAAATTAACAATCAGCTGGACTGCTTTACATAGGTGTTGAAGGAGGAGGAAAAGGAGAGCTCCCTATATCAGTGGTTGCCTCTAAAATTACAGTTAAATGCCACCAAATCCACAGCAAATTACAGTGCACATTCATGTTTACAAAAGCTTTTAACCAGCAGGTAATCTGCCTTTCAGGATGTATTAGAATACAATAATAATTGCCCTGTAACACTGCAGTGTTAGAACATTGGGCTTTCCCTGATGACATTAATCAAAACAAGCCTTCACATATATTGGTAAAAGCATACTCCAAGATGTGATGCAGATTCTAGTGAATAGCTCAAGTGCAGTTGCTTTCCAGCCCCATCATGCTATTCTCCACCGGTTTGAAGAGGGAACGGAACAAAACATTCATAGACACAGTTATGATGAGCACAGGGAGACAGCACGAATGGAGGACTAGACAAGTGCTATTGTCCATTCAGTTGGAAATCTATATCTGACATTAACTCTAATATTGTTTAGGTATTAGAATTTGTACTTTAATTCAAAATAAATTATTACATAGTCTCAATTCTAATTATTTTCTCAAACTAGCATTGGTAATGATGTTTTAATTTATATTTAAGTCAGGACAAAATAAAATTTAAGACCAAGTGTGAGTCAAACACATTAAAAGGAAGGAAAAAAAAAAAGAAACACTGGCACAATAGTCTAAAAGAGAATTAGCAGAATGCAGAGAAACCTCTTTAGACAAACACAGAAGCATCAATATTTCGTTTTAGCTTACAGAAGAGAATGAGACTATGGTCTGAAAATTAGGACAATTTTCATAAGCAAATTTTAATTACCTGCCCATTAAAAAATTAATAGAAAAATGTTTCCAATCCTGCTTTCTACCCATGAAAGTGGAGGTTCTTAAGCTGCAGCCATCACCTTTAGACTATTACATCCACTTTTGCAAGATGAGGGTTTTAGTGAACAGTAGATGATTTAACACATTAGGGGGAGGAAATGTTTTTTAACGTAACAAAATGTTGCTGATTCAAAAATGTGGGGGCAAGCATATTCAGCAGAAAAAACCCATTAAGCTATTAACTGTGCAGTTAAAGATAGATGAGGTGTATATGAATGATCAGTTAGCTAATACTGGAGTGTGGATCTCACCACTTTTAGAACTAAATGCAAAACTAAGTTTAGCTTTACTTCAATATTTTTTTTGTACTCAAAATAAAAACCCACACTTAATCAAAACAAGCAACTTGCTCTGATCTTTAAAGGGTGAGATACAATTTCAATTTTTAAAAAATTGTAGGTGTTCAGCTCTGAAGGTGATGATTGTGGCATAAGAAACACTGTAGAGAGCTAATTGTTTACAGCAGTTTACAAGCTCTGTTGCTGAAACAGGAAGAAACAGTGTGCTGTAAGGCTTAAAAGGTTTAGCACAAATGCAGTGGATCTTGTAAGAGTTGAGGAGTTTACAGACTGTGTGTGTAACACTGGGACCCTATTAGAGGCACTTGGAGCATGGAGGGGCAAAATTCTTTGTTCAAGTTTGTTAGCTGAAAAAGCCAAATAGTGTCAACATGCAAAGCATGGGTACCTGGAAATAGTCCACCTTGGAAATTCTGTCTGATTAGATGACTATTTCTGAATGAAGAAGCTGACAAGATCCACTGAGGAAGCTCTTATCTGAGCAACCAAGTGACCATGTTAGCAAGTGTTAGCTGTTCGGTGAGCCAGTGCACCTTGCAGTATGAATCAGTCAACTAGCTCTATATTAAACAGAACAAGCTCCCCAGTAGTAGAGTCCTCTGCTGGTCCAGTAGACCTAAGCTTGTTCAAATTTTGAGGGAGACAACTGACTTTCAGATAACAGAATTCTGGTCAACCAGACTTCAGATAACAGAGGTTTGACTGTGGCACAATGATTTTGTAATCTCTCCTGGTCAAGCCTGTAGTGTGTTTAACCTGTACACAATTGATAGCTCAATGTTTTTCCTTTTATTCCTTTAGGTGAAACAAAACCAACAACAAAATGAGGAAATTAAATGCAAAATGGATGTCTTCTACAGTATTAACTCAACCACCTTGGACATTTGTATATGTAGTATAAATGTGTATAGCATCAGGAAGTGGTCCTTTATAAATATGACAAATCCCTGTCCTGAAGATATTACAATCTAGGGCCATGATCCTATAGTGTAAACATTCCTGCCTATACATACATTAATGCATGTGAGCAGTCCCATTAACTTTATAGCCCATTCCCATAGTCTGATCTGTATGTATGGACTTTTATGTTCTCAGTGAGTCCCACTCTTGTCAATGTGGCTGTGCAAGGGAAAGGGTCCTCATTTGCAAATCTCTTTGCAGCATCCAGGACCATACAGAGTAAAGCCCCTGTTCTCCAAATACTTAAACATGTGCTTACTTCTTGGCACAAAAGGAAAGCATGTGCATAAATATTTGCAGGACAGAGCTAAAAGAGGAGGAGGAGGAGGAGGAATGATATACAATCTGTTTACCCTATTTTTCTTTTTCCTATTTTGCTCATTTATTTTATTAGCTTTTGCCTTTTAACTGTTTGTTTCATACCCTGTTTATGTCCAGATTTGACAGTTTCAGCACTTTCCGAATATTTTAATTTATATATTTGTACCCGTTTTGGCTTTGTAGCTCATTTCTAACTCTAACCCTACCTCATTTTCATTTTTTTAAATCTCTCTTCAGTATTTTGTTTCCCTTATTATTTGTAAAACATCATGTATCTTTTCATGTATGGTGCATTAAAGCACACCAAATATACACAGTTCAAGCAATCTAGCTGAGTTAACAGTGAAGCAGCAACTTTTCCTCTTGGAATTTCCTGCCTTTTGAGAGCTTGGTTAAAACACTAAACCTTTATTTAATTTTTTTTGGTGCAAACTTCATATTACATTAAGGCTAGTTTTGTGTATTTACTTATCTTCTTAAAGAGCTCTTAAATACTAATCCTAGAATCCTTTCACCCACCCCTTACATTTTGATACAGGATTTCTTGTTGTTTTAATTTTAAACTGGATCACAGGTATGAGGTTTAGTCAATAAATAGTTGTCCAGGACATAACAAAAGGGGTTATTTAAACTGAGTGACTTAAGGCTTAGAACTATATTTTTAATTAGATAATAATTAATAATAATAAAGTTGTATAATTGTCCTCTCCATAGCTTTTAACATCAAGTCGCTCCTTCTTTACAATGAGAATCACATGATTACACGTATAAAAGACAAAATAAAATAATCACAATTAGTACACATAAACCTATCTAGCAGTTATAGAACTAATTAATATAAAGACGGACAGACAACGCATTATAAGCCTTAAAATACTATAAGCAGCCCTCGCAGTCTTAAAAAGCCGAATTACTAGAAGATTCAGGAATCCACGGCTGCTAGGGAAAGAGGCAGTACAGAAAAGCCAGCACTAGTAAGAGGGTTAATGTTTCCTGTTTGCCTTTAAACCCCCCTCCCCCTAGCCACCCCCTCAGAGCTCAGGCGGAAGTGAGTTCGCTCCTTTGGAGATTAAAAGGATTCCGAACTCTGATCAGTTTCAATAACAGGCGTCCAGAGAGAGGGAAAAGGAGAGGGCGCGTACCCAGACCACGAGCTGCCCGGAGCCCCTGCAAAAGCCATGCTCTCAAACACAACCTGAGGAGAAAGCAACCACCCCAAGCCCCCACCGCGACAAAGAGGGGAAGGGGAGAAGCCACCCATTTCCCCCCTCCCCCCCGTGCGATGGCTCTGCTGGAATCCAACATTATCTGTATCACTTGGGATTCTGCTGCTGCTGAGTGAGTAATTGCTATTGCTGCCGCTGTTGCTAATTCAAACCCGGTGCCAATCGCTAGTGGATTTGGTTGTGCAAATTGCGGGGGAAGCGCTTTTTTTTTACTCTTGTTTCTTAATAAAACACTACACGAAGAGGCGAGATGACAAAGGAAATGTGATCCCAGTCGTTGCAGAGGCTCAGGCGAGCGAGCGAGAACCGGAGAGGACGAGGGGGGTGAGCGTGGGACTCTCGGATAGCATTGCACAGCGGCTCCAATTTGTGCATGCGAATATAATACACCCCCCATGAATAATTCAGGGCGGCCGGCGGGGACCTGCCGCTGCTACTCTACCCGGCGGCTACCGCTGCTGCTACAGCGTGTGCGAGCCACCCCGAGCCTGCCCGGGCTGCGAGTCTAGAGGGGAGACCGCGTGCTGGAGCGAGCCGGTCTGGGGCTGACCCGAAGCGGGAGCGGAGCCAGCCCAGGAGGGCGTGCGGGCAGCGGCTCAGGGCGATCCAGGGCTGGGGAGAACGCGCCCACCAGGACCGAGGAGCACCGAAGCGACCCGCTGCTCGCTGCAGTGTTGGGTGTCTCTCTTTATTGCATCCCGCCAGCCTGAGTGTCTCCCGGGGGGGTCCGGCACCAACACCGCCCTCCATCCCCATCCCCCAGTCATGCGGTGGTGGAGCAGGCGTCGGCGGGGGAGGGCTGGAGCCGGAGGAGTCTGCTTGGCCACTGTGTTTCAGTGTCTCTGCCTCTCCTAGAGCTGGACTGAGCCGCAAAAAGGGGAAAACAAACAAAATATTTCTCTCCTTTCCCTTCTCCTCCTCCCCCCCCCCCGAGAGGAGCTAACTTGGAAGCCCTTTGCCTCGCCGCCCAGCAGCCCCTCGGGGTCAGAGGGGGGCTTGCCCCGCAGACCCCCCGGCGCTATTCTCCGGCTGCTGAGGAAATCGGAGCCGAACCTCCCGCAGCGCTAGGTCCAGTTCACGCTGGATTTGGGGGGGGGGGTTTACAGGAGTGGCGCCCATGCACTTGAAGAAGAACATAGTCACCAACCACGTTGTAGAAGTGCCGACCCCGGGGGAAAGAGGCAGACTCTGTGTCAGCCAGTGACTAGTTTTGGGAAATCGATACAATTTGTCCAATGCGGACCGGGATCGGAAGCTAAGTACGGGTAGGGAAGGCAGACTCCATTGGCCACCAGCGAACGGGACAACCGCACCCAGCGCCCCCCACCTCCCCCGGGGGCGAGGCGCTCCGAGGATCCGGCTCCCTGCAGACACCGACTAATAATCGATGCCAAGCGATTTGCAATCCGGTTTCTCCATGAGTCCCTACTGCTGAGGCGCTTGCACGCCGCGGCTCGTGCCCCCCTCCCCCCGCAGCCAGGCCGCTTGCAAATGGCTTCGTTTCCCGAGGCGGACTTCCAGCTATGCCCGCTGTGCAAGGAGATGTGCGGCTCGCCGGCTCCCATCTCCTCCAACTCCTCCACCTCCTCCTCCTCCTCGCAGACCTCCAACTCCTCCTCGGCGGGCGGCTCGTCCTGCGCCCCGTCCCGCCGCCTGCACGTCCTGCCCTGCCTGCACGCCTTCTGCCGCCAGTGCCTGGAGGCGCAGCGCCAGCACCCGGCCGCGGGGGACGCGCTCAAGCTGCGCTGCCCCATCTGCGACCAGAAGGTGGTGATCTCGGAGCCCTCGGGCATGGACGCGCTGCCCTCCTCCAACTTCCTCCTCAGCAACCTGCTGGACGTGGTGGTGGTGGCGGCCGCCGCCGCCGAGGAACAGAAGAACAACGGCCGGGGAGGGGGAGGCGGCGGCGGCAGCAGCAACAACCGGCACCACCACCCCCGCCAGCAGCAGCAGCAGCACCGCTCGGCCGGCAGCGGCTCGTCCCCCGCCGCCGCCTCTGCGATCGCCCCGTCCCCGTCCTCCTCCGGCGGGGGCGGCTCGGCCTCACTGCTGCTCCGGCGGCCGCACAGCCGGCAGGGCGAGCCCCGCTGCAGCTCCTGCGACGAGGGCAACGCGGCCAGCTCGCGCTGCCTGGACTGCCAGGAGCACCTGTGCGACAACTGCGTGCGGGCGCACCAGCGCGTCCGCCTCACCAAGGACCATTTCATCGAGCGCTTCGGCGGGGCGCCCGGCTCCGCCGCCGCCGCCGCTCCCGGGCCGGCTGCCCAGCTCGCCCTCGGCCAGCCCTACCCCGCCGCGCCCTACAGCATCCTCGCCTCCGTCTTCCCGGACCGGGCCAGCTACTGCCAGCACCACGACGACGAGGTGAGCCCCGCGCGCGCCCCCCTCCCTCCCCCGGGCGGCTCCGGCGCCTTTGGCAGCGCTGGGCTGGAGTCCGCGGGATTTCACTCCCCCGGGGCTGCCCCTTCCCGCGCGCCCCGTCCCCCTCCGGTCTCTCGTGGAGCTGTCCGCGCTCACCCGACTGAGCCGCCTTAGAACCCGGGAACGCCGGGCTCAATGTGCGCCGGCCGCCTACGCCGAGCTGCCCGCTCGCCTTTCTGCCTCGGGCCCCTTCTCCCAGCTCTTCCCGGCGGGTGCCATGGAGTCCCTTAGCCCTTCTGGGGCTCCAGGTTCCCTCCGCCTGCACCCGGAGAGGGCAGCCGGCTGCTACTCGGCTCTTGCCTGGACTCTGTTCCCACCAGCCCGCGGGTCCTCTTGATTCCTTTCCCTTCGGCTAGCTGTCCCTGTTAGCCCTTGGAAACCTAGTCGGAAATATTCAAGGGGGTGGGGGAGCTGGTTAGAGTGTCTTCATTTTCCCATCAGAAACATCAGTGTTACAACTAAGTGTCTCGTGGGTAACGCTGGCTACGGTAAACGGGGAGAGGATATTTGCGTTCAGAACAAGCACTTCCGAATGGGCCTGAAAGCCGGATGCGCTTTAAGTTCTTGCCCAGAAACGTGTTTACTGGCTGGCAGCGAGAATGTACTGGTTTGCTTTAGACTGTCCTGTATGGGAGGCTTCCCACCTCAACTGCACCCTCCTGCCTTAATCAAAGGGCGGGGAAGAGAGGAGTTCTAAACCTTCTTCCACTTCCATTTGGTTTCAGTTGGAGATGGGCTCATTGTTTCTAGTCCCCATGAGTGTGGTTTCAGTTTTTTTGTTTGATTTGTTTAACAGCACTATCTATAAACGTTTATCGTTTCATTTGAACCGCTAGAAGACCCACCAATGTTCTGAACAGTTCACTTGGTATTGTAAATATAAATATTTCAGAGGAAGAAGTATTGACTTTAGGGATCAAACATCTATTTTTGCTAACCTAAAAGGTGAAAAGTTGTCATTGGGTCCCATTGCTTACTTCAAAAGATGGTGCATGTTTAAAATTTTTGTTTTTGTGGTGGGGAAATTAGGCATAGAGTATGATTGTGAATCTGCCTTCTGGTCAGACCTGTGAGGTAGCTTTTTTGCTTTTAATTATGCAGTGGTGTGATATCCTGGGACCCACAGGGCTACTAGAGAGACAAGGTGAGTGAGAGAGTTTTATTGGGCCAGCTTCTATTGGTCTCTCACCCACCTTGTCATTTACTTTTTTGTGGAGGAGAGGGGTGGTTGGGAATGGGGGGTGGAGAATGTATGCTTTCCACAGCACAAACTGCTTTTATAGGCTTAAATAGTTTGGGTAATGGATTTCCCCTAAAACTTGAAAGCACATATAGTGAAATTAGAAACAGAGTCTTAAAGAGTCCCTGAATCTCAAGTTTATAGCTGATCAAATTTTTGAAATACATGGTAAGCTGGCTTGAAGGGATGGGGAATCATACACTCCCCCCACCTCCAAAAAAAAAGTTTAAAAACCAAATAGCATGTAGAACTGTATTTTTAAAAATCTGGAGAGATTTGTTGGAATGCAGAGAATATTTAGATAGTCAAGTTTACTGTATTTAACTCCAGGAGTAAGATTGCTTACTGTTAAGACTTAACACCATCCAAATGGATACTTAACAGTAAAGATGACAGACTTGTCTCCGAGATATTGATGTTGCATTAGCAAGACTATGAATACTCTACCGTAGAAGCAGAAAACCATTAAAAGGTGTTGGGAGAAGAGAATGTGATGCAGTAGGGAAAAACAAACTTTCAAAGGAAGTAATCAGTTTTGGCAAATGTATTAATACTTGTCTACATACTCCTGGTTAAGATTATAGCCATATCTTTATAATACAAAGGAGATAGGAGTTTGATCTTGCCAAGCCCTTGCTTAATCTAGTCTAATCTTTTTTAAAATAATATCTCCTTGTATAATAATTTTTGGTGGCTATATTTTCTTAAAGGCGTTCGTCGTGAAAACAAACATTTTCAACATGCAGCTGAAATGTCTATGCCTGTTCTAAAATAGTAACAATGTGTCAGCTTGGACTGACTTAATTTAAAACTGGAAAATGGCACTCCTCTCTTTCCCTTCCCTCTTTGGAGCTTAGCATGATGCCTCAGTGGAATTTTCCATTAACTTCATTGTTCAGGATGATTTACTCCCTTCTAGTTATTTTTGTGTTGATTCTGTACTACTTTTGGAGATAAGATCCCTGCCTGAAGACTGAATGAGTGCAGAAAAATTCCATGGACGCTGCTGAATAAATATCTTTTCAATTGGTTGAAAAACTGGATGCGTTGGGAAGTGTTAGTTCTATTTAGTAGGGACAGCTAGGCTACTAGAGTTTATGCCAATGTAATTCTAACTGATTTGTTCTCTAGTTCCAGTTTTTTTTATAAGGTTGTCAGAGGAGCAAAGAACAGAACATTTAAATTTAATAGAATGAGTGTTTAGAAAAGCATGTTTTGGAGAAGGGGGGAGGGCCAATGAGAGGAAATGCAAAAATCTCCTCATTAGCACTTGGACCTCCTGTAGTGCTTGCAAAATTTCTCTGTGCCTACTAGTGGATGTCCTAAATAGCTATCAGTGTAAAATCCAGAATGGGGTAGCCGATGATTACCATTTGAAACAATACTTGTTCAGCATTAAGGGCCAGATAATTTCCTTCCTTTAAAAAGTGGCCCATAGTGCTTTAGTTTAGACCAGACTTATTGGATGTGTGATAATAACTGTAGTGAAATTCATTCACTCTTTTAAGTGTTCTTAAAGTTCTTTGTCACAATTTCCTACCAAAGCACAGCCACATGCAGTAAGACTATGAGAAGAGTGGTGTTACAGCTTCCAAAGTGAGTGCTCCATACTCTCCAGCAACAAGCTAAGGGCAGTTCAGGAGCTCGAGCTCCCACTTGGTTAAATTCCAAGGGAGGAGTAAGCCATCTTGCATTCTTATTTTTATTTTAGATGTATGTCTTTTCTACATAAAAACGTTTTCCGGGGTACTTTTAAAAGTTTATTACATGAGCAACAGAGCTCCTCCTGTGATGGTCATCCTCTTCTATAAAACGTCACTCTGACTTCTTTGTAAAATGTCAAATGTTTCATATTCCTACATTCGAAGCTGTAATGTAAATGAATCTATGAAATTAGTAATATATTTGTAGCATTTCATTATTGAACAACTAATTGATTAGCTAGATGGTGTCGTGCTGGTATATTAACTGGTGCACATGTGGTGTCTGATAAATGAATAATAAGTACTTAGTATTTTCAAAGACCATCCTCTGGAAGAAACCTTGTAATCATTCTACAGAAACATAACTGACAAAGAACTAAAAATTTATGGTAGCAAAACTATACTGCATGGGGAAGAGTGGCTGAGAAACGGTGAGAATTGTCATCTTGTTAACAAAATGCATTGTTAAATGAGGGTTTTTACTTTTGGTAGCATCTAATGATGTAAGTAACAAAAGCCAGGAAACTCCAAAGGAAGGCTAGAGTGGCAGCCTCACCTTGGGATCTTCTTGCTCTAACAGTGGTTTTAAAACACATTAAGTACACATGCATTAGAGCTAGGATAGAGGTCAGTATTATGGATAGTTACATGTTCACAGTTTCAGAATTGAAGTACCCAGGGTCCTTGGGACTGGAAGTTAAAGTTACAACAAGATCAACATAGTCATTCAGCCTTTTACTGTAGATACTTGAAGTTTCTTGTGGTCTGTTTGGGAGGGTCTCCTTAGATAAGTTGGGTTTTGTTCTGCTCTATGCTGTTGATGCACAGAAGACTACACAGCTGTGTTGTGTACTATGACTATTTCTATACAAAGTTATTGATAGGGCCCTACCAAACTTATGGCCATGGAAAATGCATCATGGACTGTGAAATCTGGTCTTGTGTGGTTTTGTCTTGTACTATACAGATTTCATGGGGGAGACCAGTGTTTCTCAAATTGGGGGACCTCACCCAAAAGGGCATTGCAGGGGGATTGCAAGGTTATTTTGGTGGGGAGGGGGGAGGTGTCATGGTATTGCCATCTGTACTTCTCTGCTCTGAAGGTAGCGCAACAGCTAGAGGGTGGTGGCTGCTGACTGAGGGCCCTGCACTGCAGGCAGCAGCGCAGAAGTAAGGGTGGCAATATTCTACCATGTCATTCTTTCTTCTGCGCCCTACTCTGAAGGCAGTGCCGCCGCTAGCACAGAAATAAGGGTAACAGTACTGCAACACCCACCCACCCACTACGCTTGTGACCACCACATAGTTCCCTTTTGCGTCCGGACCCCTATAATTACAACACCATGAAATTTCAGATTTAAATAGCTGAAATTATGAAATTTACTATTTTAAATATCCTATGATCGTGAAATTGACCAAAATGGACTGATTTTTGGTAGGGGCTGTAGTTATTGACAATTCAATGAGACTTTATTGAACACTGAAAATTGCTTAGAGCCCCATTTTCTTGAATGTTTTAATGTGATAATGTTGTACTTAGGGAAAAATGAAGCAAACTGGGTTTTAATCTTGTTTATGTAGACTATTTCTGTTCAGGACTAAGGGCTTGTCTAGATGTGAACTTAAGTCAAATTGACTACAGGTGTGAATTAAAGTGCATCAAATCCCTGCGTGGATGCCCTCATTCAAAAGTAAAGTGGCCTTTGTTTAGCTTAATTCACAAGTGAACTAAAACAACTTTCTTTCAGAATAAAGTGTTCACATAGGAGCTTAATGTGCTTTGTAAAGTGCCTTGAGATTTGTGGCTGAAAGGTGCTATGTAAAAACCCAATATTAAGCAAAATTTAGTGTCTGGGTTTGTTGACAATATCAAATTTGAAGAATTTCTTAGCTATAATAGTTTTGGGCATTATTGTAATGCTAAGCGCTGCACACAGATGCATCCTTATTAAACATGGCTCTACTTCAGGAAGTAACTTTTAAAAAGGCATTGTGGGGTT